TTAAGGTCTGTCCTAGGTTGTTTGGGTCAGATTTGGCATGCTTAATATAGCCCCTTTGCATTCCGGCTTGTTGGCCTTAAGTATGTGAATGTATAGCATGACATTTTTGCATTGATTTGGTGATTTGGAACCATCCATCATGTCATTTCAGTCCCCTTTGCATGCCTATATGTTTGCCTTGGATGCCTCTTGAATGCTTTGAAAGCTTGTGTAGTATGCTCCATGTTTTGGCATTTGTGCATGCCTTTGAATTTGAGCCACTTAGATGCCAGCTAAGAGTCCCCTTTGCATGGTCTAGGTCTGTCTTGAACCTATTTTAAGTCCTCTTAGCCTTGTGAGGCTTGGTCGGCTTAGCCATGGTTCAAGCCCCTTTGACTTGCTTCAAGTACTTGAGCCATTCATTGCATGCGTAGCATGTTCCATGTTTTGGCCGTTGTACACGCCTTTGAATTCGAGTCACTTAGATGCCATCTAGGGGGTCCTCTTTGCACGGTCTAGGTCTGCCTTGAACCTATTTTAAGTCCTCTTAGCCTTGTGAGGCTTGGTCGGCATAGCCATGGTTCAAGTCCCTTTGACTTGCTTCAAGTACTTGAGCCATTCATTGCATGCTTGGTCTATTTTGTTTGCTTGGTTTGACACCATCCTAACATGATTTTCAATGCTTACCTTGCACGCCATATGTCCATGATTGCCTCATTCAAATGTGCTTGAGAGTTGCCTCATTTGTGCCTAAGCATTTAGGCCTTAACATGTGCATGTGTGTATGTGTATTTGGTCCTTTATTTTGGTCACTTTGGCTACTGTTTTGGGCCTATTTAGAGTTGCCTAAATCATGTATAAGTCCATCTTTTCATCCGTTTGCATTGCCTCATGTTTGCTTGTATGCTTGCATAAGTACCTTGCCATGCCATGTTGCATCCTTAGCTTGCATGCCTAGGTTGCATTGCATCTTGCATGCATGCCTTGTTCCTTGACTTGGTGATAGGAATTGGGCCTTGGTTCGTTTGTTTGGTTTGCATCTCATTTGACATGAAAGTTGCACACTTGATTCTTTGGGCCATCATGCATGGAAATGCGTGATTGGTGGTCCGAGAATCGAGACACATGCCCTTTTGAGTCACAAACATGATAGGGGACATGATTGGTGCATACATTGCTTGAATTGTATTGCCATGCAAGTTCTGTCCTCTTCTGTTGTGTGTTGCAGGTTCTGCAGGCATTCTTTGCCGACCGGCAGTACATATTGCCGACCGGCAGTAAATCACCAGCCGATGGATTCATTTTGTGCCGGTGACCACAATTCACTGCCGTTGGTGACTCTACTCAGCCGGTGGTGATTCCCAGTATCCAGAGAGGCATCCTTGAGACTTTGACAGTCTTCAGAGAGGCAGAGCAGGGAAAACAGAGGCAGACTATGCATGGCGGTGCACTTCCGAGCAGGACCCAAACATGCGCTGCATCTAGCTCTCCTCTCGAGGCGGTTTACTGCTTTTCCTAGTTTAAATTAGTTTGTTAACTGATTAGGCACTTTGTAATATTTAATTAGCTTGCGTAGTTAATTAATTTGTATTATTTATTTGGTCCCTCCGAGTGAGGGCAAATCTGTAATAAGTGTGCGTGAGTGGTGTGTATGTCTTCCAATCCCCATTTCTTTCTTCCCTTTTATTTGCCTGCTTTGATGGTTAGTATTAGGGCACGTTTAAAATTAGCATACCTTATGCTATGCATGCGTGCATCCATACATTTGTATTACACGCATCAGGCTCGGTACATCACGCTAACTGCATTTGTACTTCAATTCCAAATTGAATACGTGTATCAATTGATTGACTACATTTCACACGTCATGCTTAGGTTAGCCGAGCCTACTCTGATTGCATTTTTGCATGTGATGCATTAGCCATTTTTAACATGAACTAGGGCATGCATGTTTGCTAACTAGTTTTATTGTCTTGGCACGGAGTACTATGTAAGTATTTTCCTGCTTTAGCATCTCGCATGAGTGTGAATGCTATCATGACAGCATGCTTACCATGTGGCTAGATACTTATGTGAGATAAACTGTTTGAAATGCCTGTGGGTGAAGGTTGGATTGTTTGAGTTGGAAAAACTCGTTGAAATCCGTATTTTAGCCTACTTGCGAGTAGCAAAGTCCAAA